GTGACTGGCCAGTAATTCAAGACTACCAAAAGTCTTCCTGTACAAAACATAATATAATTGAGGCTAGTGGAAGCTTATAATATAATTAAAACCAATAGTCCATTGAGCTGTGCTAACTATATGAACCAACGCATAATTACACCAATATAGCCACCTTGTAATACATACAAACCAACATGTACAAAAACATTTATACGTCTTGTACAAAACCTTTCATATACATATATGCATATCATCAAAACTTTACTTCATGTACATAACATTTTCCAAAAGCCAACTAGACTTAGCTTCAACTTAGAGGCACCAAAACAAACTCAAAAAGGCTTCAGATGGTAGCTCGGCTAAAGAGTTCTTCTAGGCTTGCTCTTCAGGTCGCCCACGGCTAAAACCCAGTGAATAACATTAAGGTAAAGAGGTTAGTGAACGAATTCCAAACATTTCATAAACATAAAACAGAGCATATCATAATCATTTTCATATCAAAACATAATAATAGTACATCAAACAGAACATAACATATCGTCATCTAACTAGAGTAATCAGTTTCGAACACTGATTAACAAACATATCACCACTTCATTAAGTAGCTAACGAGATCTCGTAATCACATATGTCATGGACTTGCAGTAACATGTTGTCTCCCATGATTTGAGACTTTCTTTGGATGCCATAATAGATTCAAATAAGACATTCATTCACGTTAACAAAAATAAGGCCTTGTTTGTCATAACCTAAAAAATTCAAAAAGTCATTATCTTATTTAAGTCATATCATCTCTCTATCACATCACTTCAAACCCAACCCATATTTTATAAAAAGTCAAAAAGTGCACTTATTTAGATCATCCCAAACAACTCCTAACTTTTCAGAAATCATAAATTATCGTATAATGTTTTGAACATGAATCATATAAATATATCTTTACAATAACGTTACTCACAGTGCTTGGTCGGATGATATACTCCAACGGATCAACCTATAAAAACATATCCAAGCATAACATCTCAAAATACATCCAATTCATTTAGTCGATTCTTAAATCGATTCGGTTCATTCGCTACTTATTTGTTAAGTTGTTTATACTCGTTCTTTAATTTCCTCCGTAAACATGATATATAATATGAGTTCAAAACATGTGTTAAAACCATGCAAATGAATGCCCGGAGCTCAGAAAATGAAGAGAAAACAAAATCGAGAAATTGCTCTAAAAACCGCACATGTGAAACCTCCACCGCACGTGCTCTCGTACGTGCAATTTTAGCAAAAAAGCAGCTTGGAACAGGGGAGGCCTGGCTGCACGTGCGGGTAGGGATCGCAATTTGAACCCGGCCCGACGGGGACCCGACCCCCCGACCCCGATTTAAGCGGTTTTTTCTCGAAAAATATCCCCAACGGGACGGGGATGGTATTCAAAAATCAATCCCCAATCAGTTTCGGGCCGGGGACGGGGATAAGTGTCCCAGCCCGTACCCGGCCCAGCCCAGTCCCCGTCCCCGTCCCCGTCCCCGTCCCCGTTCATCCCCGAAGCAAAATTATTATTTTACCCCTTTATATATATATATATAAACCAAACACTTCTCTCTCTCTCTCCGTCTCACGCGTCTCAGCTCTCTCCCTCACTCATGTCTCTCATCTCTCTCTCCCTCACTCATTTACTCACTGACTCAGATCTCTCTTGTGTCTCACCAGTTCTCTCATCTCTCTCTCCCTCACTCTCTCATCTCTCTCATTTCTTATCAGTATCAACATCATCCAGATGATCCATCACCATCACCGATCTGAAGCCGCCACCACCACCGATCCCTCCGTTGCCACCGATTTGAAGCCACGACCATGACCAGGACCGTGAAGCCACCGATCGATGTCTTGATCAACGGACCATGAACAGATCGTGGTCTGATCGATGTCCGTGAAGCCCCTCGTCTCTCTCTCTCTCTCTATATATATATATCTGTTGTTGCAATTTTTTGATTGATGAACAAATTTATTTATTTATTTATTTTGTTCCAAGTTGTTATCTATATTATATCTGTTGTGTGTGTGTGTTGTTGAACAAATCTATATACATACATATTTTTTTTTTCTGTTCTTGTGTTTGTATGTGTGTTGAACTGTTTGCATATAAAATAAATAAAATTTATTTGCATATAAAATAAATTTTATTGTGTGTATAAAATAGATTATATTTTATTTTGTGTGTGTGAACTGTTTGTATGTGTGTTGAACTGTCCCAGCCCCGTACTCAACTTGAACAGATTTGTCGGGGATTTTTCGGGGTCGGGGAAACCCGATCCCCGTTAGGGGATGAAGACGGAGGAGGTGAAGGGTTCCCCGTCGGGGATCGGGGCCGGGGATTTTGTTACTGTCGGGGATCGGGGACGGAGAGGGTCATCCCCGGCCCCTGCTCGTTGTCATTCCTACGTGCGAGGCCTCGGCCGCACGTGCGATCTAGGTAAAAACTAGTCCAAAAGTTTGTTTATGAAGTGAAACTTTCTCTTTTCAAAATCCATCTTAAAATCCATGCATATCAAGTTTCAAAACTCACAAAAACAACTTGATTTTCCTTACAAAAGACCAAAGTCTTTGGAAACATTGTAGAATCAAGAAATACAACTTGAGGATCAAATTTAGATGTAGAAATTCCTTTGAGAGGCCATGCAAGAAAACAAGTTTGTGATTATGGTTTCATGAAATTATGCTATGTATGTACAAAATGTTGAACTAATTCACACAATTCCTCTATTTTATGTTCATAAGGGTTCTCAACATCAGGTTATACCATTAAACTCTTAATTAAACATGGTGTCTTCTTTAATTAAGCTTAAATTCAAGAGAATAGCAGTTTAGATGACTCAAATCTAAGAAATTATGAGAGAAATCCTACCTTAGAGGGATGATTTATGGGGATCAAAGTTCCACTCTTCCTCAAGTTCTCCTCTTTTTCTTCCTTTTGGAGCTCTCTCTCTCTCTTTTTCTCCTGCAAGATATTTTTGTGGAGTCTAAGTCTAAGACTCTATAACTAAGGCCTCGTTTGGAAACAAGCTAATTTAGTAATTTTTTGGCTATTTGGCTAAAATATGAGCTAAAAAAACTTGTATGTTTGGGATGACTTTTTAGCTTATTACGAAAAGATGTGCAAAAAGTAGAGAGAAAAAAGAATCTTTGACTTTTTGGTATGGGTTGTTGGCTTTTTGGCTAATTTAGTAACTTTTTGACTTTTTGACTGAAAAGGAGGGTTCCTAAACGAGGCCTAAGGCTCTTATATGTATATATATATATATAAAAATAAGGATTGAATGAATTTAATTAAATCTAATTAATTAATTATGAATCAAATTTTTACTAAACTTCTCATTTAGCGCTAAAAATTATTCTGATCACAAATATTTACTTAGTTTTGATTTCTAACGCCTCTAAGGCCCTTAATTTTCAGTTTAAAGTTGTAAGTTCAACAGATCTTCCTACGAACAACAGATATCAATTCAAATCCTTATACTCCATTAGACATGCAATTTCTCAACAAACATATAATCAATTAGTACATAAAGATGTAATTAGATGACTAATTAATCAAATGCATGTCCGGATCATTACAACAACCAACCATACAGTGGTATGAATTCATTATCAAATTAGCAAAAAAGCATATGGTTGGTGTATGTATATATAATGAAGTTAATGTTGTACCTTGCAAAATAATAATTTCATATTCATAAGAATGGCAAGAAATCAAATGTAAAAACAATGAAGGGTTCAAACAAATAAATGAGGACAAGTAGAGGGGTATAAATTAGTGTGTTTGGTTTTAGTTTTCTAAATTTAGTTTTTTGAAAATTATGTTTTTTGTTTTTCATTTTTTTTTTTGTTTTTAGTGAATATTTTTTAAATTTTAAATAATTTTTTTACTTTTTTAAATGCACCTTACTTAGATATATCTAAAAAGTAAAATATTTGTGAAACAATATTTTTAAAAATTAATAAATACTCAAAAATATGAAAAATGTATTGAATTTTTATTTTTTTTTGTATTTTTTGGTATTTAGTATATTTTTTAAAGATTTTTTCCACAAATATTATACTTTTTAAATGTATTTATGTTAGGCGTGTCTAAATATTAAAAAAAGTTGCTCAAAATATTTTAAAAAATTTATTGAAAACATTAAAATACGGAAAATAAAAAAGTAAGGCTTTGTTTGGTAGAGCTTTGTAAAGTTAATTCCACCAAACGGTTTGAGTGTGGTGTTTGGTGAGAGTTTTCAAAAATTGATTCCACACCGACAGTTGAAAACACGTCTACTCGGTCATCCTCCCAGATGTCCGGCCTTTTGATCGGCCGGTTGACCCGAATAATTCTGGTTTTTTTTTTGGAACCTATTATTTTTATATTTTAAATAAAAAATATTTTCAAATTTTTTTAAAAAATTTTATGAGTTGTGAATAGAATTTTGGGTTTTGTATTTGGTTATGAGTTGTAAGTTTTTGAATTAAATATTATGTCACATCAAAAATTTCAAACTCAATTTAAAACTCTTTTCAAAACTCATAACCAAACAAATTTTTCATACTCAAATCATAATTCTAAAACTCACAAATTCAAAATATAACTTTATTTTTAAATTATAATTCTAAAATTCTACCAAACACTATTTAAAATTTTCTAAAAATTATTTTTTGAAAATCAGAACCAAACAAGTTGAATCTTTTGTTTTGCGGGTAGGGTTTTCAAGTTGATAAATTATAAATATTATTTAACAAGATTAAATTGATATATTTTAAGTACAATTTAAAGCGAAATACAGAGAATATAACAGAGTATTAACAATTACCCTATTTTAAAAATCATTGATTAATGATAGGGTGGGGTTAGCTTAGGGGTATGTAAGAAAGGCAAAGAGAGTTTGATTCCGATAGAGATTGAGGGATAGGGAGAGTGAGCGTGCAATAAAAGCACAGCTGTCCTTAAGAGCATTTAATGCCGCCATTACTGACGGCCCCCTCATTTCCTCCTCTTTCCCTTGAATTCTTCCATTCCTCTCCCTACCACCACACCACCTCCTTCCATACGATATTTATAACTCTTCTCTCATTAATTACCCATTTAATATTGTTTACAATACTTTAATATCACTATGAAAATTTATTATTTATTAGCATTTTTTAAAAATTCAAAATAATAATTGCCATTATTATCTTCTATATTATACCCTCTATTCATACAACCCAACTCCCATTTACTCAATAACTCCTATCCCTATAAATTCCATCCTTTTTCACCCTTCATTTCAACTCTCTCTCTTTCCATCTTCTTCGTCTTCTTCTTCTCAATTCGTCTCATCCAATTCCTCTCTTTGTGAGGAATGGCGGCCGACGTAAGCACTCTGGTTCGGATAATGAACGGCTACACGGAGGATCAGCCGGTGGTCAACGACTCCGGCGGCGGGAAATCAACGGTGCTGATTACTCAGGACTTGCTTGGTGGGTGTTGTACTCTTGACTCCACAGAATTGGACCTCGACTTGCAAGTCCCTTCCGGCTGGGAAAAGCGTCTCGACTTAAAGGTGGATTTTTTTTTTTTTTTTTTACAATTCCACCCTCTCTTAATTTTGATTTTCTTGTTTGGTTATTTGGAAACCCTCATGACCAAGAAGAGAAAAACAAGGATTTTTTAAAACATTTTTGTATTAATGCCTATGCTCTAATTCATAATCCATTTTTCCAACTGTTTGATTTTCTCTCCTTCTCCATGAATATAATTATTGTTTTATCGTTTCAATTCTGGGTGTTTATTACTCGGATTCTCTGTTTGACCTAGTTTTTGAATTTAATTTGTTTTAATTTTGATTCATAATTTACAATTGGATTCAGAATTTGTGATGATATGTATTTTACGACAATTTATTGCTCATTAATTCAAATGCAACAATAAATTTGTTAATACCTTCAACAGTTGTTTTTATCATCATTAATTTGTCAACTTTCCCTCTTTGATCTTTTGTTGTATCTCTTTGTCTTCTCTCTCTGTGTCTTTTTTATGAACTTTTATATATTTATTTGTTTATTTGTTTATTTATTTATTATTTTGGGATAAAAACGCCTTTAAATAGATTGAATGCCATGAAATTTGTGTATCTTTTTTCTCTTTATGAATTCATTGATTGCGAACGACAAGATATCTCCTTATTTTTATTGTTTTGACTTTCGTTGGAAATTTATTTTGAAAAATTTGAAATTAGTTTGACAAAAAGTTTGAATTTTCAAATATTATTTCTGCTCTAAAAAGAGAGAATTTTATGGAAATAGTGTGTGTTCCATCATATTATTAGGCCTCATTTGAAAAGATATTATTTTAATAATTTTTTAAGTCTTTATAAAAAGGTGTGTAGAAAAATAAATATGTATAGTAACTTTTTGACTAACATATGTAGTTCTTAAACGGAATTTGGAGTGATTGCCGTGCAAGGGACACAGCAGCCACTGTTGTGCAGTCAAATGGATCCATTTCAACGTTATGATTCGAACCGTTCACATTTTAAAGTATATTGAGTAGAGCATACTTGTAAAAATTTAAGTTTATCGGATATCGTTAACCCTTTCATCTATTCTCATTTGTATATTTAAAAATAAATAACAATTGTGATTTAAAGTATTAAAATAAATATAAATGTGAGTGGATGAAAGAGTTAATGATATCCGATTAACTTGATTTTTTTCTGGTATATTATGCTTGGTGTATTTTAAAATATGAACGGGTCGGATCATCAAAGGCATTGTAATAAAAAATGTTAGAGATTCCAAAAGTTCTATCAAAATTTCTACCAAATGTCTCACATATGGGTGTGAGACTCACATATGTAAGACATTTGGTAAAAATTTTGATAAAACTTTTAAGGTATGTAGCATTTCTCCTTTGAAATGGGCCCATTTAACTGCACAGTAGTAGGGCCTCTGGGCAATCCCCAAGTCCCCCCAAACGAGGCCTTTCTTGTTAACTTAAAAATCCATATGATCATCTTTAGGATTTGTTTGTATGATCATTTATTCGGGTCTCTCTTGGCTTATCAATCTCTATCTTCCAAATTCTTCAGAAACAGAACAATTAATCCCTGTATTGTCTTTAGCAATTAATGCTTTGTTTGTATTGATGATAATAAAATCTTTTTAACTTCTCCCCCTTACTTTAACTACACAATTTTGTGTAATTATCAAAACCATTTATTCTAATTTTATTTATTCTAATTTTTATTATCTTTTTTTGACTCATAATTATTTTTATGATTACAGTCCGGAAAAGTTTACCTCCAAAGATGCAACTCTCCAAACACTTCGTCTGTATCATCAGACCATAATCACCAGTCCAATGAAACAGTTCCAAAGCTTCAAGATCTAAACTTCCCTCCATTGTCAAAACAGCCACTAAACCTCTTTGACGACACCAACTTAGACCTAAAGCTCGTTTCATCATCATCAAATTACCAAAGCGTATGCACTCTTGATAAAGTAAAATCCGCACTTGAAAGAGCAGAGAAAGAAACAATCAAGAAGAGATCAATATCTATGTCAAAATCATTGTCCCCGCCTTCAAATTCATCATCTTCAATAAAAAAAACCAAAATGGATTACGAGGGGAAATTATCATCATTGTCATCATTTGCTGCTGGCTGCCCGAGTTGCTTGCTTTATGTGCTGATATCGAAAAACAACCCTAAGTGCCCTCGGTGTAATACGATTGTTCCGTCACCGGTTATGACAAAGAAGCCCCGTATCGATCTTAATATATCAATATGAGAAGTTGAGGGTCATTTATGCTTGAATTCAATTAGTTTGATTTTTGTAAATGATAGAAGATAGTTTTGTAAGTGAAAGAATGCAATATATACGGGCTGGTGTACTCTACTGGAAATAGTAAAGCTCAGTTTTATGGCTTTTCTCTAAATCATTTCAGTAATTGCTGTGATAGTAGTCATGTTGAAATTCTTCTCATCAATGTGATCGAAAACATAGCTCTTTTATTGTGGAAATTAGGTCTACTATCAAGGTCGATTTATCTTTCTTAAAATTGGCACAATATAGTAGAAGTGGCTATTTTATTGATGCTTTAGCATATTGGTTGTATTTTTCTTCATCTTCATAGTTGTGTTGTATGTAAACAATTGTTTCACATGCCCAGAATATGATCATAGAACTGGATGCGACTCTCTCACCTGGGGTGAGAGTGGAATCCATTTCATGCGAGAGAGTTGTGTTTAATTCTGTACCCCAATAAATGCCTTAAATGAGCCATGCATCTACATAAATTTTTTGTCAAAGGTTTGTGTTTTGTTTTATGGGTTTTTCATGAAAAGCTAATCTATGACATGCATATCTATTGAAGCATTTCATTTATATATACACCTAACTCATAGTAAATGGAATTTATTTCTTTAAATATCCATAAAGGTGATACCTACTGTCTCAGAAGAGTTTAATGTCTTTTTTTTAATAGTTTCAACCAATTTTCTTTGTGGGCAAATTCAATACAATGAGATCATGTTCTGCTGCATGTGATCAGTGGCTGAGTCTTGAAGAAATATAAGTGGTTTCTGTTGTTTCTGAACCCTGATCTTAATATATGTAGTACTTTCTAGTTGCTGCTATTCATGGTTGTCTCTGGTTCTCATCAAGTCGAAAACTTAGAAAGTCAAATTGTATATATATTTATTGACATTTATGAAAATATTTGACTCTTGAAAGTTGAAACCATAGCCAAAGTTCCAAAGTAAAAGAGTGAACTTTAACTTGAAACGGCATTGTAATAAACTCAAGCAATTCACTCTGCATTTATTTTACTTAAACATAACTCAATCACAGAACTCGATCCAGACCTACAAAAAAGTGGGATCAAACTTTTAAGAGAGTTTTATCCAGTTATATGATTAGTAAAAAAAGCGATTGGAAGAGGAAACACAACAAAATGCATGAGGTTTTCTGTTCTGATGTTCTTGTCTGAAACACTTTATACTGTAGGATCAATCTTGTTAGATGAGATGGTGTGACAAAAATGTGGTTTAGGAGATGGAAGGGGAAGAATCTAGAGTGGACAAACTAGGCCTGAGACTCCCTTTGAGGGATGACACTTCGGTAGGAAAAAAAGTTATTGCCGTGCCAATCATGGTACTAAAAGCAAAACTGATTGAAAAAAAGAGGGTAGTGCTAAAACACTTAATGAAATTATTGGCAAGAGTGTAGTAGTAGTAGTGTTGTTTATATGGGGTGGGAAGGTGTACTAAATTATAGATACCGACGTCAATGTCTGACTCCTCCTCGGTCACTACAACATTAGAGCCACTCTTTCAATCATCCTCAAAACTTAACTGAAGCCCTCTCAAACGTACGAACCTTCCTTTCGGCTCGTCGAACTATTTTATAATTCACATATTAGGTAATCGAGATGAAAATAATTAATAGATTTTGTTAATTAGATTAATATATGTAAGTATAAATACTCCAATTAAACTACTAATACAGTTGAGTTTAAAGTGTGTTAGATATTCTTTAGGAAGTGATTACCAAAGGGTTGACCTTAGCAGTTATAGTAATCAAGGCAGTCGACTTCTACCCCCAACTGGGCTTGATTAAGATTTATTCTTTATTATTGTTTTATTTTTTATTTTTTTGGGAGGGAGAAGAAAACTTAAGCCATAATTGATTATAAAGGGCAAAAAGAAAGAAATCGGAATTAAGGTGCCTCAAAATAGTTTCATGAATCGTCTATTCCATCTCATACTTGTTTGAGTACTAGGTTAGGTCCCACGCAAAATTTGTTTAGGACATGAGGTCCACATTTTGAGCTGAAATACTTTTTGAGACAGATATTTATCCCTGCACAACAAAAGAGAAATTTCTCTATTCTAATGGTTGTGGTAACAGAGAAATTTCTCTAAAGCTTAAGCTTACGCGAATTTATCAATGAGGTCAAAGGTGTGTTTTATTATGTGGTTGGTTCATGAAAAAATAAAGGTTAACTATTTGTGAAATTTCATCATGCACCTCTCATGTATGAATCCATACACTTCTAATCCCATCAATCATAAAAAATTCGTCATTTTCACCCACTCTTATTGATTGTGAGAGAAGTGGGTTAAGTTTTGATAATTTTTTTTTTTTAAACGAAAATAAAATAAAATAAAATAATTAGAATAAAATAAATAAAATAAGTTGAACAAAGAAATTAGATTTTTATTTTTTTATTTATTATTTTTTTATAAGTAAATAAAATAAGGAAATAAAAATAAATAAAGAAATAAAATTTGTACATTTATTTATTTTTTAATTTTATTTTATTTGAACAATTGTATGGAATTTTAGAAGTTTCGTATATTTATTTTCTATTATTTCTTCAAGTATTCGACTTTTTGTGATTGTTAAATGTTTTCATGGAGGAGTGAAAAGAAGAAGAGGATGAAGAAGAAGCTCCTATGAAAGTCTCCTTGAAGCTTTTGGAAAATATCACCTCTTGAATAACCTAGCTTTTCTTTCCTTCAATTTCAGAACCTTAATCCAACCTCCTTCTTGCCTATTTATCCTTTTGTTGCCTTTCAAACATGTTTAAAGCATTGGGCCCGTTTTCCAAAAAAAGTCAACACACGTGCGGAAAAGTCAATGCACGTGTGGAAAAAGTCAACACACGTGTGGGAAGCTGTTTTCTCTCCAAATTCTATCTTTTTGCCCATTTTGTGATCCGACTATGTATAACCTAATTGACGTTAAACACACATAAAATATACAGTTTGACAAGTAAGTAAAGTTAAGATATCCTAATTAACGGTCTCAATGTTGAACAATTCGGCCTTGATCACTTACCTTACTCTAGAACGGAGCATTTGCATGGTTTTTATAATTGAGGGGATCAAACTGTACCAATTTATAATTGAGGGAGTCTTGATGTAACTAACCCAAAAATAATTTATGACATGCAACTATTGAAGTATTTTATTTAGGAAAATATTTGGTAGCTCAAATTTTTGTGGCTCAAATAGCTCAAATCTGTCAAAACGACGTCGTTTTACACTCAAAATCTGTCAAAACGACGTCGTTTTGACAGATTTGAGCCATTAGAGCCACAAAAATTTGAACTACCTAGTATTGTCGTTTCATTTATACATACATCTCCTAACACATAATAAATGGAATTTATTTCTTTAGCAATCCATAGAGGTGTATATACCTACTGTCTCAGAAGAGTTTAATGTCTTTTTCTTTATATTTTTTCCTTTTACAACCAATTTTCTCTTGGGTGAATTCAACACAAATCAGATCATGTTCTGAATGGTTCTGTGGCTTTTGAAGTTTCTGATCAAAATATACTCTCCATCTGCTGCTTATTCGTGGATGTTTGGTTCCCAGAAAGTCAAAACTTAGAAACTCATATTGTATAAATATTTATGATTATATTTTGACTCATGAAAACCATAGCCAAACTAAGAATAAGTTTTCTCTTAATGTGAATATCATTGCAAATTTACTGATAAACTGAAGTAATTTACTCTGAGAGAGAGAGAGAGAGAAAAAAATAAATAAATAAGTAAAAGAAAAGTAAAAAGAATGAACCACCAATAGCCACAAAATATACACCGAAATTTTATATTATATATATATATTTTATAGTATTAGAAGATAAATCACCAATACTATACTTTTTCATAATAAAAGTTAGGAGGGGAGATTTTTGTAGAGCATTTCCATCCATCTGTCTTCATATATTCCCAATGTGAGATTTATAGATTTTTATAAAATCCTCAAAGCTTCTATAACTACATCATTTACACTAAACTGGAAAATTGACAAAACCAAATTATAGTATGTAATCGATTTTAGTTCGCTTATTAATAAAATTAGAAGGTTCTGCTCAGTTATAATTTTTTTCTAAACAAGCCACTTACTTTCTATTTCCACCACACAATGAGTCTCATTGTGCAAAATCGTAGTGGTGTGACATATGAGGGCAAAATAGATGAAACAAAGAATCTAGTCTTGAATAGTGTAAGGGTTTTCCCAGCCTTTTAATGACTTTGGTAGCAAAAAGTTATTGCCGTGACAATCATGATACCAAAGTAAAGTGTTTGATGAAAGTCATCAAAACGCCGAATAAATATAATAGTCATCATAATATTATTATCATCAAAAAAATGTATTAAATTATAGATAACGACATGGATGCTTGACCTCTCCACTTGAAATAGTATTCTCGATACAACATTAGATTAGAGCGAGCCAGCTAACTGGAGAAAGAATCAAACCATCGAGCTCTCTCAAATGTCCAAACCAAACCATTGAGCTTGAGGTTGGTTTCTTTGCCCACCGGAACTAATTGTCTTGCCTTTAATTAATTAGATCAATAGTTAAGATTACTCCAAATCATCAACAAAAAAGTTAATCAAGGCAGTCCACATCTACCAGCAGCTGGACTTGAAAAAAAACTTATCAACAAATTTTGTTTTTTTGATGATGGTAGTGATGATGGAGGCAGTGATACAAGCTTCAGTTAATGTTTGTAGATTGAAATCTCCATCTCCATGATAATACATTAAATAAAAAAGAAGTCCTGTCAAAGAAAATTATGGGAGTTCTGTTTGGGGACTATGTTTCCCTGGCTGGAAGAAGATTCAAAGTTAGCAATTTCATGGTTTGCCATTTGCTGTCCATAACACATTGACATGTCTCGTCTTTCCTTTTTTAACATGTGGATTACTAATTAATAATTGGCATCTCAATAGTCATATCTATGTTTCTTCCACAGAAATTTACTATATATTGTTTTAACTCGGAAGTTGTGTTTGGATCTTAAATTTAGAAAGGATTTTGTGAAGAAAAAAAATAATAAAATTGGAACCTTTTTTTTTTGCACAAATTCCTCCTCTCTTTTTTTTTTTTTTTTTTTCATAAAAAAAAAAAAAAAATTGGAACCTTTTTTTTCTTCA